ATGTTATGAAAACTAACCGTTTGATTGAATAAAATCCAGAGAAATAAACTATTATAAAGAAAATAAATGAAATATCCCATATACAACTTGAAAACAATTATCATCTATTAACTTATGATAATTTACTCTATTAAAGTTTAATGCATAAATCTTAATATAAACCTAAAGAATGATTTCATGTTATTTAAAAGTCAGGTCGTCATCTCTGTTCACTTTCAACTGAATGATTCAAAGTGAATACACACTTACTATAAAACCTAAAAGTCCTGAATTCTATTTCTGTGTCATAGGTGTGCACTGTTAAGCAATCCTCATATCCTAGTGTGAATCACCTGTCCAATGTTCTTTAGATTTTACTGCGAATCAATTAATTTAGTGATCTCTTTGGATAAAACAAGTATATACATGAAGTTGAATTAACAGGTCAACAAAACAATGTGAGTTATATCAAATTTACAGATAAGTACATTGTAGCAAGAGTCTGTAGCTGTCTCATTAGGTGACAAATAATAATCACTAGTTTATTTTTTAACAACAAATGAGTAGAAGTAACTATTCTATTTAGAAAAAAAAACAACATACCAACGTCGCAGAAACTTTATTTTTAAAGTATGCAGGTCATCAAACTTATCCTCTTTCAAAATAATGGTCTCATTTTTGCTAAATGCGTTTTCATTATCCACATTAAGTCAAACTGATTAAAGGTGGTGAAGACTCAAGTACAGTTGGTTGGCTATTCTATTATCTATTGGTAACAACATCTACTGCGCATTTTAATGGGTATTTATTGGAGAAAGCAAAACGGAAATTTTATGCAATGGGACCAAACTGTAGTTACTAGAATAATGCTAGGATGACAGTTGTCTTTGCTGCGTAGGTTTACTAGTGTGAACGAGAGGAGTTTGTTGAACTATTGCTATCATTTGAGTTAGTGATACACTACTGTGAAAATCTAATCTAAGATTCTTTCAAGAATGCCTGGTGAAAAACAGTCACAAGCTTGTATTTCTTTGCACTCATCTTTGTGAGGACCTATGCGTTCGTCAATGACGTTGAAATTAAGTCAACTGGATTATTATAGAATAGGTCTCATAAATCGCAGTGCAATCAAATAAAAGTAGATTTTATAAAAGGAAGTCCTTTGGCCTCCGTTATTCCGTCTGAAATAATCTAATTCAGACTGTGATTGAACAATTACTTTTCGAAGAGGAAGAATAGCTTGTGGTTGATATTATCTTCAAAATATGAATTCTTACTTTTAACAACTAGGATCTCTAAGCACAGCTGTAGGTTGTCTGTAAAATGTAAGCCGTTACGACTAACCGCTCAACCAGAGAATATCCATTTAAGATTGATGCTTACGCAAGATATTTTAAATATAGAGCCACCTCGTAATTTTGTTTACGTTTAAATTATATTTCATATTTTTATTTTCTTGTAATCAGTAATATTTTGACTCGGATTTTATTCAGTTCACATTTGCTTATCCTATTCAGCATATAGCATTTTCAGCAGCTTATTTAGTTTTGATACATTTGGCTAATCAGAAATCGTCCAAATGATAGGTTCATATGATTGGCCAAGAAATAGCTTTCATTTGTAATGAACAAATCATACACCATTGGTGGCCTTAGTCTCTCCTGTCGAATAGTTGTTTATTGGACTCGTGAATAATAAGACCACTTATCAGTATCAACTATCAAATACTACACATCATGACAGGTTGCCTTCATTTCTATGTCGAACATAAAAATATCGGAAGAACTGAGTTCTCATGCTCAGAATATTAATAATGGGCTTATATGGTTCACTGTTAATTAGACACTGGACATTTCTCATCCTATAGATTAAAAACTTAGAATATTATTATCAAAACTTTTTAGCTGACTATCTTTAAGCAAACAAAAAAGTTGGACTTTGAAGAAATATCGACATTTTTCAGGAAAACTCCGTGCAACTACAGGCGAAAATACACCAAGTTTCCGTCTTTTTCACCATTCTGGGGAAATGTCTCAGAGTTGGTATATCAACCTTCGCTTGAATTAACATCAAGTAATCTAATTTTCCCACAGATTAGGACCGATCAGTATTCTTTCCCCTTAAAATTTGCCAGTGGGGAAAAACCTAAAATTAACATAGTTCTTTCGTTTATTTCCTTTTTTAAACTTGGGTCCTGGTGTTTTGCAGTACAAAAAGTTCACCATTGGTTCTAATCGAATATGTTAAGAATAGCTGTGAACAAGAGGTTACCGTCAGTCTTTTTACGTATAGCCTACTGAAGTGTAGTTAGTTATGGATTTGTCTAATGCGTAGAGTACAAGATCAATTTCTGACAGGAGGATGGTTGGTAATTTGTTATAACGAATTGTGTAATGATGAGTTTGGTTTTAGTTTTAAGGCAGTTGCTACTCACTACCAAACTTAGTGAATTTTGCATGTTTTGTAGTGGCACGGAATATAAGTCCATAAATGGGTGATTGAAGACGGTATAGACCAATAGTTTACAACTGCAAACGGTTTTTATGAGTCTAAATATCTGTGACAGGAGACATTGTTTATTTCTTTCAAAATTTATACAGTAAATTCATTCCATATTAACTGTAATGAAAAACTTCAGATAAATGAGTCGAGGAAATCTGACCTGTTTCAAGTTAGTTTTGATCTGACGTGTACATCAATTGAGGAGTCACTTTAAGTTGAGACATACCGAATGAACTTTAATTCAACTGTTTCATATACTAATATGTAACTGACGGTTATAGTGTATTATGCTACGTTATCACTGAACTGAAGTTAACATGAGTGATGTATTCAACTTCAGTACTTACTACAAGTCCTTAAAGTAATCGGTTCATCTCCAACAGTTGGGACGAGTGTTGAAGAATAAAACTAAATAGGTATACACATTTTTATTACTTTACAATGATTGTCTGATGTACACTAACTTGTTCTTGTGAAGAATTATGTGATTAGTTTGCTATATGTGTCTACATATTCAAAATATTTCATTCTTTGTAAATAGCTCATTTATTATTCTATTTCTCTGACAAACAACTTTATCAGTTTGTTTAACCAGAACAGAAAAAGCCAGCCAACTTAGTTTCTACAATTCCTCGTCCTTTTCTTTTTGTTACAACTTTAAGCAGTCCCCCAGTTTTAAGAGTGTATATTCCCGTTTAACCTCGACTAGTTCAGTTTTCTTTTTTTTAAAACGCTTATATTCAGTACAGTAACTTGAGTTTCCATTGTTATATCTATTTACTTATTAGTTTACTCTGTCCCTTCCAATATGAAGCATATTCATCCACAAATAACACTACTAACAACTATGATAACTAAACTAGATGGGAGTTATGTCACAATTATTGCTTATCGATCACTGCTGACAGTTGTAAAGGTGACATTCATTATATTCTGTTGAAAGTAACGAAACTTGAAATTACATAGGATTCTTTGAATGAATGTCAACGAAATATTTGTGACAACTAATTTACTGCAGTGTTTTCGGATATCATTTAACAAGTCTACACAGATTAACTATTGTTTTATTCGATGTCATCGTCGTTAAACAAGTTGACATCTGGAAGTAATATCACACAATTGTCTGTTAAAATTATATCGTTAACGCCTAAATTAGCTCGTGAACATTTCCGTTCAAAAGTAACCAAGAATACAATCCTCTTATTAGCCAAATGGCATCTAATGAGAAAATAGTTTGCTATACTTTTTAATAAATGGACTATGAAATTATAACAAACAACTCAGGGGAAGTACTACACTGAGATAGTTTATTAGCATAAAGTACATGTGGAATTATACGGTTTCAAGATAGTTTACATCGTTTGAGCTAAACAACTATTGGAAACTAGGAAATACTAAAGACTACTGTTTCATCCTTTTGTATAGGATTCCTTAAAAATGCCTACCCACTACCCTTCTTACCAGGAATCAAAATGAGGAATTTTGTAATGACTGCGTAGCTTTCAAGACATTAGGTTGCTACTAAAAATTCACATCTCCGACTTCAGTCAATTCACGGTATTGTGGATACATTATTTCCATTAGCCATCAGTTCAGCAACATTTATTCAAAGCGGAGATGTATTGTATCCGAATGAGATTAAATTGTAGCTAACTTCTGGGGACTATTCGTGGACAGTAATAATATATTTTTTAGTGTATAGCTACTAAGTAACTGGATTGTATATATTTATATTACTTTTATTATAAGCTTTCATTTGACCTGTTGGCTACTATTAAACGATTTGCTATTTTTAAGTTATTCCCAATCTACTAGTTACAGTCTCTCACACTCGCAGCCGCTTTTGACTTGATCTTTTATAATTGTTATTTTTCTGTTTTATGGTATTATGCGGTCTGATTTGTTTGTATATAAACTGCGTATGTCTGAAATTTACGATTCACACAGCGGATGCTGATATTTGTCGTCTGGACTGAAGCGGCTAGGTTAGGCGAGAAGCTACTACACAGAGGACCAATAAGAACTCTAAATTGTCTCAAGAGTGGTTATGCTGATTAACGCGTCACTGGTTTATCATAAGGACAGTGTCATAGAAGTCAGTATTCTAATTGGCAATTTCGTCACATAAGACATAACAAGATGAATAGTGGTTAGCGATGAAATTCATGACGCGTGTTTCTTCTTATTTGAGAATCGTCAACTGAATGTGTCTGGATCTCAGAAATGAGGTTCACTCTGGGACCAGATCCAGTATCTTTCGCTTCTAACGCCACCATATTATTCACTGAGTCAAGGTAGCCACCGGTTTGTGCAATGGGATAGATTTTAGTTCACATGTATTGGTTAGTTGAATCTCCCCATTCATATTTAGGGTTGAAAAAATGGCAATACAAAGGCAATCTGTACAGAATCCACACACAACAGAGAAGAGACTGGTCAATTGCAGTCCCAAACAACGTTGGTAATATTCAGATAACCAACATATATCACCTTTTTTTCCAAAATTGAGAACTATATGATGATAATTTAGTCAATAACTTCTAATAATAAAACAGAATAAAAGATGTGAAATATGTATCTGATTTACACAAGGTAATAATTGTTGGAATGTTCAACATTTTTTATGATAATTACATGATTATGCAATAATGTGAATCTTATTATTTATTTATATATATTCTTATTACTATTACTGATATAAGTAGTGTTATTCAAAAAGGACTAGACAAATAATCATTTGTGTACATGTGATTTATAGCAATTTATATAATGAATTGTTGTATACAGATATGATAATACTAGTATTTTGATTAAAGTCAGTTATTGAAGAGGAAATGATTTAATGATGATTATGAAGAGAAGGAGTGAGATGTAGAAGTTGAGGAATACAAAAGTGAATTAATATGAGGATGATGATGCATTATGTGATTCACTGTTATTATTATCATTAATGCTTATCAGTTTACTATTCACATGACTATACATATACGAATCATTCAAAATTCCAACTGAATTTGATTCATCATTATGAGTTAAATTAAGGAAACTTGAAACATTTCCCATTTGTTTTATGAATTGAGGATTTAAAGTTGAATTCATTATTAAATTTAATGTAGTATTAGTAGTGGTAGAAAAAGAAGAATATGTTTCAATATCAGTTACATTGGTAACTGTTGTAGCCACTGTTAATGTTGTTGTTGGAGATGATGGCGGTGATCCTGTTGTACTAGATGCATTAGGTACAGTTTGAGTTTCAGTTGCAGAACGTATTATATAAGCAAATATTAAACCTAATATAGTCAATATAGCACCCATTGTAACAATACGAGCTAAACGATGATTTTCAATAAGATTTGAATAAGCTTCATCTTCATCATCTGAATTTGTACAACATGTACAACATAAAAGATCAACTAGAATAGATCGATCCACTGTAGTGGTTGTTGGTGACATTGTATTACTAGTATTATTATTACTAGTTAAAATAGTATTTGGATTATTAGATTTATTATAATGAACATTTGATAATGTACCAATTGAACCACTAGTTCTATGTTGATTTGGATTACCGCCAATTATTGTATTAAAAATACTACGTTCCATTAAACGTTGACTTGAAACACTACTTCGTATACCGATTGTATTATTATTATTATCAAGATTTAAGTCATTATGTTGTTGTATAAAACTTGATCGAGATGACTTTTTATGACTATCTGCATCAGAATTAAAAAGAGCATTATCATAATTAGTATTACTATTATCATTAGTATTAGTATTATGTTTAGAAATCATCTGTTTTAATCGTTTCCCAGATGATGATATTCTTCTTGTATTTAAATGAAAATTAGATGAATAATGTTCATTAGAATAATTAATTGATGTTTCTTGTGTAAATCCTAAATTATTACTAATTTGTGAAAAGATCATTGCAAGTGATTTACGTGGATTAGTTAGAATTGATGAATGACGACGTTTTTCAATAGAGATTTGTCTTGGAAATGGTTGCCAATATTGTTGTTGTTGATTTACTTGAAAAATAGTTTCTTCATCATTTATTATATTTGATGATTGTGACAAATTAGAATTAGAATATTGTTCATTTATTGATGGAAATTTCATTGTTATCTTATCATTGTTGATATTACAATTTGTATTCATTGTTTCTTCATGTTTATTTGAAGTGTTTTCATGAATGTCATAGTTCTTGTTTTCTATTCGATCATATTTAGCATCCTAATAATGTTGAAAAAAGTAAACAAATATACTCAAGTATAAAGAAAGTTGATTGTTTAAAGACTTTGATGGAGTTTTGTTCTTTAAGCTGGATGATTTGGTCATGGAGCTTTGATTGTTCTTCTGAACGACATCATCATGATCATAAAGTTTGTGCTCCATCCAAATCATCCACTTGAGCTATAAATCTTCACCACTTACAACAAATCTAAATGGTTTACGCATAACCGATTAACTTCTGAATTATTTTCATTATCAATGAATATCAGTTTAAGAAGTGCTGAATACTCGAAACTACGGAACTTCTACGCTTAGTCGTGATTTAGAATCTAAGGTGATATATTTGATCTTATGAGGGTTTGTATTATCTTGTTCATACTAAGAATTAAATTTGATCAATCTACAGATAACACTGTTATTCTAATCTATGATTGTTTGATTTGAATCTCAGTTCGAATAATCAATATAAATCAAATTATATTCAACTGGTAAATTAATGAGGCGTCCTTCCTAGAATCGCATTACTTCTCATTATTCAAAATATATTTGATCTTATTTGAAAACATTTTGATTACAACATAACTTCTTATTAAGCAATGATGGATAGTGGTTAGCAGTGGGATCCAGTTTGACGCGCGTATCGTCCTATTTCGGAATCGTCAGCTGGGTGTACCCGCATCCCAAAGTTGATGTTCATCCTGCGACTCGAACCCAGTACCATTCGCTTCAAACGCCATCGCGTTATCCACTCAGCTACTGAATCCTGATAGTCACTTGCTTGTGCAATGGGGTGAACTTAAATTCACTTGGTATTGTTTGGCTTGTATCTTCCCATTGAGGTTTAAGACTGCAATTGATCAGTCCTGTATTCCACTACTAGCCACTATCCATCATTGCTTACAAAGTTTGTGAATTAAGGCAATATCAAGGCATACGTACAGTAAGCACATATGCCAATAACAGACTGATCAATTGCAGTCTTAAACCTCAATGGGAAGATACATACCAAACAATACCAAGTGAATATCTTATTCTTTGTCAAATTTAAATCTATAAACCTTTGACTGTATAATGAAGAAAGCATTTCAACATTTATAAGGTCTATTTGTCAAATTAACCATTTTATCTTAAACAACTCGTAGCAATGTTGTTTCACTTATTACTTATAAGCCAGTGTTATTTTAATACAGAATACTTCATTTTCATCAACAATATGAGTTATTATTTCAGTGTAGAATGGTTTCGACTCTCTATGTATTAACAATATATAAAGTAGATTACATTGTTTTTAAGATTATCAACAGTCTAGTTTTCAAAATACTAGGCTTCATGGAGGGAAAACTTGATAAGTAAAGTATATTTTTGATTTAGATCATGAACCGATCGATATTAAACCACCTTTGGAAACCTGGAAGCACTGGAAGGCCGTTTCGTCCTATTGTGGGACTCCTCAGCAGTGCCCATCCACGATCCCGCCCGCGGGATTCGAACCCAGGGCCTATGGCCTCGAGCGCGAACGCTTAACCTGCTGGACCACTGAGCCGGCATCCAATGTTGATAGTGTATTGATTTTAGCTCATAGAATGGTCTAGGTACTTGTTGGTTTTGTTCCCTTTACTTGTAATGCTGCAAACGTTTATCCAAAATAATGTCTATGGTATATATGAGTTACTTTTGTTGAATATTCCATAAATTATATTCTGAATATCTTGTCTTTCTATGAGGAAAGTTATAAATGATGTACACATGCTGTATTTCACAAGCCCTATCATGTATCTCCTTTTTTTATTCCACTTACTCATTTGTAGTTGATATGTCTCTCATTCTCCATGAAACACTGATATTGATTAAAATTGGTGTTCGTCAAGGTTACCCATTATATATATCCTACTGGTTATAACCATTTTTGCATCTTACATTAAAGGAGTTGATCCCATGCCAAGAGGTTTACTTGTTAACTTCAAATACACAGATAATATAGTATTTGGTGAACTGACTGACATAATCCAAAGATTGCCTCGATTAACAATATATGCCTGTTTGAGATGTTTTTCTCACTCTAAATGAAAAATCTCCCTTTAGGATTGATCTGCATCAGTACCTAAACCATTTTTGGGGAGTGAATTAGTTGAGTACATCAAAAATTTTATGCACTAAACTCACATGACTATATCTCAGTTTTCGTTGGGATGGCTTACGAGAACTACGACAGAGGCCCTAGAGGGGCCGAAGTATCCCATCCCCTCAGAACGCAATGGAGATATCTAGAATATCAACATGGTATGCTACTATTGGTTAGTAGCATAACATGCCTCTTTGCGGGTTGGTTGAATTATAATGTTGATATAATAAACGCTAATGTCTATAGATACCCATAATTTTCTATACATTTTCATTCTTGTCCAACAAGCACTTTCTCCAGTTTTCTTCTGTCTTCTTATTTGTGACTTGGGTTATAGCATTCTAGTGCTCAAGTTATACGCGGTATATTAAGAATCTAAGCTCCTAGATACAACAGTTTTATTATTGGTATTGTATTATACTGTATTCTATTCCTCACTCTTAATATGTAACTTAAGTCAATGCAATTTTCATTATTTATGTCGTGTTCTTAATTTCTTTTTTATATTTTAACAAGTGTATTTGTAGTCGAATAGTCAAAAACTTTAGTTGTCATAACCATAGATCTAGGTATTAGGTTTAGTTCAATTACGCAAAGTACCGTACTTCGATGTGAACAAAAGTTGAAATCACAAAATGGTGCAAAAATGTTTTTCGAAATATTTAGGATCTGATTGGTATGTAAGGGCATTTCATATTTGACATGTATGATTCAAAACACGTTTACTTATTTCCTATTCATTAAAATGCTTAAATTCAATGTTAATTATTGTTTGTTTCATTGAATTTGGAAATCCGAAATATCCTCATACTCCTCCTAGGTCTTACTCATAAGAACTTCATTAGAACCTAATTTCATCTTATTGAAATGTATGAGATGAATTCATAAACGAGCTTTGAAATCAAATGCTCTGTTTAATACTGCATCAAGTAAGGCATGTTTTTGATTGAGATCATGAACCAATTGATGTTAGACTACAATTGAAAGCCTGGAAGCACGAGACGTCCATTTCGTCCTATTGTGGGACTCCTCTGCTTTGTGCATCCACGATCTCGCTCGCGTGTATGTTTTAATTAACATTTAGTTTAATTTAGAAACTATATTCAATTCTTTTATCAAATGAAATAAGTTAGGCGTCAAGAAGACATTAATAAACTGGTCAGTCCCACTAGAGGTTAGTTATTACTTGAATAATCAAGGGAAAGCCCCCAAATGCCCTGTTATGGCCGAGGATGGGGTGAGCCTGCCCTTCCTCTCGAAACGCTCTCACACGGCCACGCGTATACAGCCTCTGACAGGGAAGTCCTACTCACTGCCTTCTCGTGGCGGAGACGTTGTTTACGAAAATGAGAGGACGAAAAGCGAATGTCTGGTGCTTTAACCGGATTCCAAACCAATGGTGCACATAGGCTACAGTATCCTGAAGAAACAAATGGCGTATGAACCAATCGTTGGTCACCGGCTACCATGGGAATGTATCTCCCCACGATGCTCCACTGCCTTGTGGATCAGACCTTTAGGTCAAAGGCTCGGGGTGTGGTCCCCTAAGAAAACCACCTGCTTCGGTCTGGGCACCTGGGCAGCCTCCCACCCTTCACACAAATCGAATGATTTATGTAGAGCATATATATTTGGTGCCTCCTTGTACCAATGTTTATATGTTTAAATAAATAAAATAAATAAGCAAGTGAATAATTCGTTCAACTGAAATACTGACTAGTAACTATGAAGTTTCAAAATGAACATTAGTGATCTTTGGCTACGAGATATATCTTATTGATAACTTTTCTGGAAAAGAACTTGAAGCACCAACATTCCACTCTTTATTAAACATCTTTCAAATTAGGAAATTATAACCACAAAAAAGAGCAGATGAAATAAGACTTACCCTTTTCAATGGTGATTGTTTTATATTTTCTAAATTTGTTATTATCTCCTCCCACTGAACATTGTTCTCATCTGCATTTAAATTTGCATCCTCATCATCATCATCATCATCGTCATCGTCTGTTATGACACCCCAACCAGGAAATCTGTCAGATAAACTTAACTTCAGTTTATCTACAGGTTTCTTCTCATTATTTGTTAATTTTATTTTATTGTTAGATTCGTTAGTGGATTGGTTATTTTGAGTGTTAGCTATTTCGAATTTATTAATTACATTATTATCACCATTAGTAGTAGTATTAGTAGTACTGGTAGTACTAGTCTGTTTATTAACTGGTTCAATAAAAGCAACTCTTGGTTTCAAATTTTTACTTGCAATTTCATTTACTATAACACATTCTGTTGAAGGGTTTCTTGAAGTTATTGTAGAATATGATGTTATCATTGTGCCAATCGATTTTTTCATTGATTCATTAGAAGGTACTGTGTTTAATTTTGATTCTATAGTTTGTCGTGATGGTAAAACTACTAATTTATTTGATGATGAACCTTTATCATATGTACTAGGGTAAATATTATCATTACTATTATTTCTCACCTGATTGGTAGTATTAGTAGTAGTATTAATAGTAGTATCTGTAGTAATATACAAGTTGTTGTTGTTGTTGAAACTTCTAGATATATTTTGTAAATTAATGTACTGTGGATCATTTGATGATTTTGATAAATAAGAGTCATTTGATGACTTCTTACTATTAACTGTATTATTTGTGGATTTATAGTTAGAAGATTTATTTGCAATTATCACAGGTTCTTGGATGGATAATAAAGATGGTGAAGAACAACTACTATCTTCCTTAATATTGATTTCTTTTTGTTGAACTAGTGCTGATGGTAATGATTGTTGTTGGTGATGATGTTGAAGCGAGTGATGTTGATGATGACGATGATAATGATTTGTTGAAAGTGGTGGAGGAATACGTACAAACGGGGGTGGTTTGGCACGAATTTGTGAATCCAGTGCAGAAAATGGTAGTTTTACACCAAGCTGAATATTTTAAACATTGGGAAACATTTTTTTTGAGTATCTTTAAAATGATTGTAAGTTTCAAAGAATATACCATCATAATAATGTTAAGTGACCCAAGTAACCATCAGGTTCCTCATTGATTTATGATATCCTTGCTAGCATTAGTGTTATGACCTTAGATGTCTGACTTTTCGATCACACGACTTATCTACCAATCCGAATACGACTTATACGAATCTTCACACTAGGCCAACCAATGACGTTCAAGCTGTGTGGGCAGTTTAGCGTCCTTATTGGTCCTATGTCCTACGAGCCCTTCCACTTGAGTCCAGAACAAGGTACCAGCTTCCGAATCAGAGCAGATCGTTTATTTCAGGCATACTTGGTTTATATATCAATCACACAGACCGCAACGTACCATAAAATAGGAAATAATATTTGTACACAAATAAGCCCAAAAAAGTGGCTGTGAATGTGGGAGGCAGTAGTTAATAAACTGAACATAACTTAAGAACCGTAAATCGTACAATAATAGATTATAGGCCAAAATAAAGCTTGTCATAAGAGGGGTATAAATATACATAATGTAATTGTTGAATAGTTATACAATAAGAATATTTATAGAATATCAGTCCATGAATAGTCCTCGGAAGTTACCTGTAATTTAATCTCCACTCGGATATAACAATTAGCATGACAAGTTCATCTACATCTATATAGCAAGTCCATCTGACCAACTAACATTGAGCAAAACACACCTGTTCAATAAAGTTCTGTCAACAGAAAGCACTTGACAAATATATCATTGGTTGATACTCATTAAAAGATTTTAACGTCTTAATTTAGACAGGGGTTATTTTCCTTGATAAGTTTACAATATGCATTTTAATACCAAATTATCTACTATAAATGATAACAATGCAAATTTGCATGACATCTACAGGATGAGCTTAATTAAGCAAGGGGTTATAATACTAATAAACTGACATTAGACGAGATGAATTTTATAAAATAATTGTTTAAATGAAAATACAATTTAAACTATACTGAGTGAAAGGATATCGAAGATATAGAACTTAAAATAGTGCTAGGTTTGAAACTATCACGAGTTCACTTAATCGGCGAACGAGAACAAGACTCGGTGACCAAGACCAGTAAACCAGCTATTGATGCGTCCCAGCCGCGCTAACTAGAGGGAGAAATCCAAGCTCGGAATATGAGGTATATTCTGCAAACAGCCAGAAACGAGCGATAACAACAAACATAATTCAAAACGTATATATACAGTGCAAAACCGTCCTTGGGGAGAGTTATCAAGTAGCATACTAAAAGATGCAACGGACCAATATCATTTAAGATATTTCCCAGTGGGAAATACGACATGGAGGTGACATGAGCGCCTTTGACGCGAAAAAAAGAAGTTCAAAATTTCTAAATAAAATTACAAAATTAGGTCCTTTCCCAAGTGAATTCCGGGGATCTAACGTCCCCAACATATAGTGAGATTAGTAACTTTCTTCGTATAAAAGTACACCAAGCATATTTTCTCTTATTATATAGAAATCAAAATTCATTTCGCTGATAACCAAAACTTGAATACGGGAAGACTTTAAAAAGTTTAAATATATCCTGTAAGCAACCCTTATTTCAAGATTTGCATATTTTTGTGTGTATACTGTCCACTAATTCGGAAAACTAGTACAGTAAATTTATTTTCTAAACTGATTATAGTGTCCATAGAATGGTCGCATCACATATCATTACCATTTATCCTACTTATAAATAGTATAATATGATTTGTAGAATATTTTAAGGTTCTTCAGGATGAGACTATAATTTATGGATGACCTTTAAGCGACGCTAAAGAGACCTTGAGAATGTCCGCCTACATTCTACAGCTAAATGAAGGTTATAAATCAGTGTAAGGAATTAGGATTAATATTTACATTTGATGGTTAGGATTAAGAATCAGATATAGGGTTTTCATCACGAACTGACATCAGCTATAATGACAAAACTCTATTTAACTAAATGAATAAATCAATTTTGTGCTAAAATTCAAAATTTGTCATCGTATCTCTGATTGGTTCACCCATAAATTGTAGTATCTCCTTCTTCAATAAATATTCGTGATGGAAGTCGACTTTGTATATTACTACTAGATACCAGTAGGTAGGTAGGAAGATACAAGTAAAACAAGTGAATTTAAACTTCACCCCATTGCACCATCAGGTGACTAACAGAACTCAGTAGCTAAGCGGATAACGCGATGGTGTTTGAAGCGAACGATACTGGGTTAGAGTCCCGGAGTGAACATCAACTCTGAGATGTGGGCACATCCAGTTGACTAGTCCCAAATAGGACGAAATGTGTGTCAAACTGGATTCCACTGCTAATCACTATCCATCTTTGCTTAAAAAGAATATTCTATAGTAGAATATTTCCATTATGTTATACATATATTCCTTATTACCTATGTAAGAATAGAATGATACTGTTCTATCACATTTGAAATAGGTTTCTTATTGGCTTATTGATTAATTCAGTAGACTTTCAATTACTGGATCTCAAATATAACAAATCTATTTTAATCGCTGAAAAATTCCCATTATATTAAAACACGATTATATGAACGAAGAATATTCTTTTCAATGTATTTCTCATCAGGTACTAAACAATTATAAATTCAAATGAATAATTCATCAAATTAGCCAGATTTAATGTAGAGTACATCATTTGATATATGAATCAAGGATTGTTTGTTATGTAAAGTCAAATCAAATCGTTAATGTTGGGGTTGACTAATATGAAGTTTCACTGATTGAAATCGTGAGTCAATTGAAGCTAGACCACCATGGGAAACCTGGAAGCACTGGACGGCCGTTTCATCCTAGTATGGGACTCCTCAGCAGTGCGCATCCACGATCCCGCACCCAACGAGATTCGAACCCAGGATCAATCAGTCTCGCTCCAGGCGCTTAACCAACTAGACCACTGAAGTTGTTGACTCGAATCAGTTTATAAGTGAGATAAATAATGATCACAATAACTGTGATCAACATGGGCTGAGAGAGATAGAATAATGGAATAAAAATCAAAAATTACGTAATGTGTGGAATAATATGAATTCGGTCAGATATAGTAGATTTAGGGGGTTGATGCTGAATAAATTCCTCATAAAGCTTGTCAAGTGTAATAATAATAATAACGATAAAGATAATAATAATAGTGTGGTGCGTGCTACTTATATTGATTTAAGTAGTATATAACGCTAATCAGGAATGTAATGTCTGGCAGCAGAAGATGGGGAAGATCAAGAAAGGACGAGCGGGAATAGAAAGTAATTAGTATGGAAATGCAAGAACAACAAAGTTCGAGACAATTATTAAACATTTTGCAAATTAAATATTATATTATGGTTTTTCTATTTTACCAAGTAACTCTGTAATTTTGTGCCAAACATAGAGTGATTGTCCCCACTGGTTTTCTGCTCACTACAATAGGTTGAGTTTGGGACAAAGATGTTCACAGAGCAATAGGGATATATATATATGAATATTTTTAAATTTCAACAAAATAGCCGAAACTGTTGGTTTTCAGTGACTTTTATAAATAACTTAAATCTCAGAAGAGAACACCTATTCAAGTATCGTATTACTAAACGACTTACTTTTACTGTTTAAGTTAAAGTACGTGAAATACATTTGAGCCTAAAATCAATTCTATTTGTGTGTAATGAAAAAAAACACAAAAACTAAAGTAGATATATTTATTCGTATAAATTTATTTCAGTAGTATTTTAGAAATTTATTTTCATAAGGAGATTTTAGTAATTCATTAGTAGAATTCATGAGTCAATTCAAGTTAGACCACCATAGAAAACCTGGAAGCATTGGATGGTCGTTTCGATCCCATCCACGAGATCTTGCATGAGCATTGTTGAGGAGTTCCATACTTGGATGAGATGAATATCCAGTGTTTTCAGGGGTTTTTTTTGTAATGGTCTAGCTTTAATTGATTCATGAATTCAACTATCAGAAATTTATTTGTTTCAATCTATAAGACAATACATTTTTTTCAAATAAAAAGAAGTATTTCTATCAACAAAACCAGGGACTTTCACTGAAAAAGAAAAACAAACTGTATGTTTAAATAGTCTACTCAAATTTCATTAACTTACTACCTACTACTCACTACACTATACTACTTACTACTAAAATAGTTGTTATCACTAAATATATATGTGTATAACTGAATGATCATTTAAAGAGATTAAAGATTATAAAACATTTTTATCAAACTAATTTCATCTTCTAATGTAATGTCAATATTAACAATGAAGTTGGAAATAATTTTGCAGAGAAATATTATCATCCTTTGATTCTGTATAGGTGGTAAATTGATAGAGTTAACGAGAATAAAAATTATTATGGTGTGTGCTACTGATGTCGACAGATATAAGTAGTATGTATCATCAGTTGAAAGTGAAATGCCTAGTTTCAGAAGATCAAGAAGATTTAGGAAAAGAGAACGAGAACAAAGAATGTTTGGTATGGAAACGAAAGAACAACGAAGTCTGAGATGATTGATTGATATTTTGCAAATGAAGTGTTTACTGTATAGTTTTCAGATTTTACTAAGTTGTTCTGTAATTTTGTATTCGAATACATGCGATTGTTCACACTTTTGTTCTCGTTCACTTAGAACAATGGTATATATATATATATGAAATTAAAGTACTAGTTCCGTGAGGAAATGTGGACAACGAATAACCAAGATGATGTAATAGTAAGATTATAATACTAGATTACGTAACACAAATAATAACAATAGACTTAATAAGTTAGTAACGAATTATAATGCGAATGTAGTAAGATGATTCAAATGTTTTGTTGCAATAATTACCCGGTTGCCCAAACTGAAGGAGGTGGTTTACTTAGAGGACCTACACCAGGAGCCTTCGACCTAAAGGTCTGATCCACAAGACAGTGGAACAACGTAAGGAGATGCAGTCTCAT